AAAAAAAAAAAAATCCTATCAAAGAGGTAGTCTCTTTATCTACTGTGGCCCTTCCGTGCAATTTTGGTTTTAGTAAAATGTGAGAAAGTTATTACTCTTAGAATACCTAAAATGTCTATTTTTCACATAAGCAAGGATTCTGACTAAAGGTTATGTTCTATTGATCCTACAGGAGTTCTCCAATTGTCCTTTTTTTTCTTTTGAAGATTAAGTTTATCCCCCCTCAGCCCCTCATTTTTTTTCGTATAGAGTACCATGAGATGGTCTTAAGCCTCCAAGTATTAAGCTTTTTTTGCTGGGAACTGAGAAGCTGAAGATAACTGACATTGGTGAGATGCTCAAACACAGACAGAGGGCATGGAGCCTCTTCCCTCAAGTGTATCTCCTTTGCATGAAGACTGGAGAAAATGCCAAATACCTATTCACATCTTACTATTACATAACAGAGATATGGAACCACCTTTCCCTCTTTCTGGAAATTCTTGAGCACCAATCACAGAGATAATACATAATAGATTAAATTTTCCTCCATCCTGATTCTCCTAAGTACCAAAATAGTTAGCTGTTATGGTCACACACTAAAGTGTCTGTGCTTTGGAAATGTTTGGTACAAAAGAAATTCAAGAATATTTGGTGAAATGGGAGGTAGTGTGTAGACACAAGAGCCAAGGGGGTTTAGGGTTAGGAGGTTTGGCGCTTAGGAAGTAGGAACACTACTCTACTTGGGAAATGGCTGTGGCGCTTGCCTCAAGAGAAGGAACGTTTGTGGCATAAAGTCATAGTAAGCATTCATGGAGTTTTGGACAATGGTTGAGATGTGAAGGTTTCACCTCTTGTTTCAAATACTTCTCCCTGGAAAGCCCATATTGCCCTGGCTGGGGATCATCAGAAGCCCATATTGCCCCGGCCCACTATGCCCTTCAAATGTCTCTCATGGCTGAGATGCAAGCCCGACGCGAGAAAGGCCTTTGTTATAACTGTGATGATAAGCTTGGACCGGGCCATAAATGTCGGGTCCAGTGGGTGTTTCTCCTACAGACAGAGGAAGAGCCGGAAGAGAGACCCAGAGCACTTAAATGACTGTGAACTGATTCCAGACGGACCAAAACCTGACGAGGCCGAGATCTCCTTACACACCCTCATGGGCCTCAACTCTCTTTAGTCCATGCGCGTTGAAGGAAGATTGGTGGGCCGGACCGTGATGATTTTGATTGACAGTGGCTCTACCTTGAATTTCATCACTTGTCGTTTGGCTAAGCAGCTAGGTATGACCATACAACCCACTCCTCTCTTTTCAATCCATGTGACTAATGGGAGTCAGATGTCATGTAATGGTGTATGTAAGAAGGAAAAAATCCTCATACAGGGCCATAATTTTGTGGTGGATCTCCACCCATTGGATTTCTCGAGGGCTAATATTATTTTGGGGGTTCATTGGTTGCGTGGCCTGGGCCCCGCTCTAAGTGATTGGGCCATTACGAATTTCTGGTTATGCCTTTTGGACTCACAAACGCCCCCTCCACCTTTCAGGCCCTCATGAATGACATCTTCAGGCCATTTCTAAGGCGATTTATTCTGGTGTTTTTCGATGATATTCTGGTGTACAGCAGGGATTGGGACACACATATGGAACATCTGAAACTCACCCTCACAACTCTAAAGGGGCACCTATTACATGCCAAAATGACAAAGTGTTCCTTTGGACAAGGATAATTTCAGTACTTAGGCCATGTGGTTGCAGCAGGTCGAGTCATGGCAGACCCAGAAAAGGTAGACGCCATCCAGAAGTGGCCCAAGCCCACTCCTATAAAGGCTCTACGGGGCTTTCTTGGGCTTACCGGATATTATAGGCGCTTCAGTAAGGGGTATGGGCTTATGACCACCCCTCTAACGTGTCTATTAAAGAAGGATTCCTTCAGTTGGACGGATAAAGCCCAACGGGCTTTTGAAGACTTGAAGATAGTAGTTTCCAGCCCTCCAGTCCTCACTCTTCCAGACTTCTCTCAGCCCTTTGAAATAGAATGTGATGCGTTGGGTGTAGGAGTAGGGGCCGTCTTGATGCAAAAAGGGCAGCCCATTGCTTATTTCAGCAAGGCTCTCTCAGTAGCTCACCAAAGTCACTTATGTCAAAGAAATGATGGTTGTGGTAATGGCAGTGCAAGAGTGGCGTGCATACCTATTGGGACGCCAATTTGTTATTAGAATAGACCAACGAAGTTTGAAGTACATAGCAGAGCAAAGGGTGCACACCCCGGAGCAGCAAAAATGGCTTAGTAAACTGATGGGCTTTGACTACCTCGTAGAATATAAACCGGGGCCCGCAAACAGAGTAGTTGATGCCTTGTCACAGGTAGAAGAGTTAGCCCATCTGACCTGCTCTCAGCCCAGCTTCCCTTTGTTTGAAGCTATAYGACAAGAAGCCAGGTTTGATCCACAATTGCAGGTCATTAGAGATAAGTGGAGGCGAGACCCTTCACAAGTTGATGGTTACCAAGTTGTGGGGCCTGATCTTTTCTTTAGGGGTCAGTTTGTTGTTGCCCAGAATTCGGCCCACAAAGCTGAACTGCTAAGGTTGTTTCATGACTCTGCCTTGGGAGGGCACTCAAGGGTGCTATGGACCCTAAAGAGGCTCAGCAGCCACTATCATTGGGTAGGAATGCATAAGGATGTATTACAATATGCATCCAAATGCCAAACCTGCCAACAGCAAAAATACTCGTCACAGTCTCCCGTTGGCCTTCTACAACCTCTCAAGATTCCAGATCAAATGTGGGAAGACCTTTCCATGGACTTCATCACGGGTCTTCCTCGTTCTGCAAGAAAGGAGGTTATCATGGTAGTGGTTGACCGTCTCACCAAGTACAACCATTTCTCTGCATTACCTCACCCTTACACCGTAGCAATGGTGGCTGACATCTTCATCCGGGACGTCGCCAAGCTACATGGAACCCCAAGATCCATTGTCTCAGATCGGGAGCCTGCTTTCCTGAGTTCATTCTAGAAGGAATATTTTCGATTGCAAGGAACCCAACTGCACCCCTCCACGAGTTATCACCCGCAGACTGATGGGCAGACTGAAGTTCTTAATCGTTGCTTGGAAGCCTACCTTAGATGTTTCATAGGGGAAAAGCCTCGACAATGGGCTCACTGGCTTCCGTGGGCAAAATACTGGTACAATTCGACTTATCAGTCGGCTGCTGGAATGACACCCTCCAAAACTCTTTATGGCAGAGAACCTCCTCCCATATTACCTTATGAATATGGGTCATTCAAGGTGGCAGAAGTAGAGACCCGTCTACTTGCGAGAGACGAGATTCTTAGATTGCTTAAGTCCAATTTGACAAAAGCCCAACAGCGAATGAAGGCCTGCTATGACACTCACCACCGCCTGTTAGAATTTCAAGTGGGTGACTTCGTTTACCTTAAGCTCCAACCTTACCGCCAGATCTCAACAGTAAGACAAGCTTGGCACAAGCTAGCACCCAAGTATTATGGGCCTTATAAGGTTCTGGAGAGAGTGGGCCTTGTTGCTTATCGGTTGGACCTCCCTGCAACCTCAAAGCTTCATCCAGTGTTTCACATCTCACTTCTTAAGAAGGMGGTGGGAAATCATACACCTGTCTCACCCAACTTACCCCAATTCATTGAAGAAGGGGACATTGACACAGAGCCTATCAGAATTGTGGATTTCTGTTGGGTTCGATGAGGTGGTCAGGTTGTGCCAGAAGCCAAGGTAAAATGAGTTGGGCTTCCTCCAGATGATGCCACTTGGGAACCTTATCTTAGGCTGAATGAGAGATTTCCAAACCTAGACCTTGAGGGCAAGGTCAATGCTAAGGGGGGAGGAATTGTTGGGACCCAAACACTCCCTCCGAACCCAACTATAGGAGTGGAGCAGGCCACCACCGAGCAGCATTTCACTAGAAGACAGAGAGGCTAGCGTGACACGCGRCAGAGCCTCCCAGAGTTAGTTACACTGCCACCAGAAGATATTCTCTCCATGATTGCATACATGTAGGCCAGCTATATAAGGCCCTAATCATGTAATAAGTGGCGTGAATGAATATCCCTTTCATCTCTCTCTCTCTCTCTCTGTGTCATCTTCTTCCTACCTTTCCCCCTTTCCCTCCCATCTTCTGTTTCAGGAGGTTAAGCCACCCTCGAAGGGGCTTCCGAGGTGAGCGGTAACTCATCAAAAATCCAGGTCTATCGAGAATTGGAGGGGTGTTTAGGGATGCTACAAGGAAAGTGATGACTTTGTTTTCTAGGCCGATTGGAGTAGGGACTCTGCAATCTGAAAGAGCAGAAATATTAGCCTCACACCAAGGTTTGAAATTAGCAAAGCAATGTAGTCGATTAAGGGCAACCCATTCCTATCAAAAAAAAAAGATTGAGGGTGACCCAAAATTGGTAATCTCTTGGATGAATGATAGCAGTCCAGGCATGTGGATGTTCAAACATCTAATAACTGTTTGGAAAAACAAGGGGTGTATAGGGATCAACTGTTTGGGGCAGATCTGTAATAGGGGATGTTAAGCTTGATTTTTTTTTTTTTTTACTTTTCTTTGCATCAGAAACACATTGTAATGTTTTTTCAGTAAGTTAATGAATTGATTACTGATTACCGATCCAAAAAAAGGGCCCTCATGAGGGTGGGCAATGGTTCCTAATGAACTTCTACAATTCTATTGAGGAGATGGCAGGTAGAGGCAGCTTTTTCTCTGTGTACGCAGTAGATAATACATGGCAAAGATAACTACCGGAGATGGAAAAGTAAAATTTAACTTTGGTGGATGCTCTCTTGGAAACCCACCTTGGTACAAAGGCAAAGACTACAGTGGAGATATTGTCCTTATCTTTTCCTGACCAATTGGTCAAGGAAAGTCTCCAAGGACAGAATTTTGTGCACTCTTCAAGGTCTAAAACTAGCCTTTTCTATGATATAGGATGTATTTTTAGAAGGATATCTCAAGCAGTGATTTAAAAGGCACACCATGCATTTTCAGGTATGTGCTCACCTAGACTCCAGGAGCAGTACTTTCAAAAGGCATGTGCTTTTTTTATTGTTTGTGTTTTTTTGTTCCGTTTTGAACCTAGCGGCTGGGCTGGGGACTCCACCCCTGGACCCCCAACCAAGCCCCTTGAGGTAAGCCCAAACAAGTCCATGTCAGGGTCTTAAATTCGTAATCCCTACACAAAAAAAAAAGGTTTTATAATTTTAATATTTTATTAGGATGCTTGAATGAACAACATTAGCAAATAGGGTCTGAGGGCAACACATGGTATCCTCAAGCAACAAGATCATTTCCAGTGAGGAAAGAAGGTAAGATACCATGTATTGCTTTCCAGCATTTGAGCAACAAGATCATTTCCAGCCATTGTCCCTCAGACCATGAATGCTAGCATCTACCCTATTCCAAAGCTTGTCTCCATCCCTAGGAAATCTCCACAACCACTTCCCAAGTAAAGCCTTGTTCTTTTCACCCATTCTCCCTAAACTTATCCTACCTTGCCTTTTACTTCTACACACTAGTTCCCACTTCACCAAGCAATCCTTCTTACCCTCCCCCATTCCCACAAGAAATCTCTCGTTATTTTTCAATCTTCTTAGCCACTCCCTACAAAATTCTAAACACAAACAAGTAATACAATGGAAGGATAGCTAAGGAGGATTTAATTAAGGTGATTTGCTTCCTACAGATATATAATTCCTCTCCCAACAACAAGGCATTTAGAAAACCTTTTTTTATCATCAAAGGCATTTAGAAAACCTTTTTCTTTCTAGGATTGGCCGATTGGGTTCCAAAAACTATTCTCCCTTGTGTTGGCTCCTAGAGGTATAACTAGATATATCATTGGCCAATCTATAACCAAAAACCCCATTATACCTGCATAATCAGCAATCTCCCTTTTGTCTATGTTCACCCCACCACTCCACTTATTTCAAAGTTGATCATCAAATTTGACAAACTATCAAACAATTCAATATTCAACCTTAAGTTTCTAATCTATTGTGACCATCCCATTTGCAATACAAGATAATATCATCAGCAAATTGCAAATGGGTAAATAACAACATTTTCCTTACCTATGCTCCATCCTCTAATTAATTCCATTCTATCTACCCTCAAATTTAATTTGCTAAACATATCACTATTAAAATTAACAAAAATGCTGACAAAGGATCCCCCTACTTGAGTCCTCTACATTCACTACCCCATTCACCAACACTGAATAATTACATGTTTGAAGGCACTCTAAAATCCATCTACACCATCTACATCCAAACTTGCAATTTCTCGTTACTTCCACTAGAAAAGACCAATCCACCAGGTCATAGGCTTTCTCTCAATGTCCAATTTGCTTATTAACCATTTCTTCCTTGACCTCTTCATCTCTTCCACACACGCATTTGCTATCAGAATCTGATTTGTAATTTGTCTGTCCTGCACAAAAGCTCCTTGTGTGGAAGTGGTAATGTAGGGGAATACCTTTTCGGCCTCTAAGATAGCACCTTGGCTATGATCTTATAACCGCTAGTCACAAGGCTTATGGGTTTGAAATCCTTACGATGACCAGCCTTAGATTTCTTCGGAATCAAAGCCAAGAAAGTTGTATTTAATTGTGGATTGACTATTCCCATCTCGTAGAATTTCTCAAAAAACCTCCAAACGATCATCCTTTGGTATCCCCCAACAATCTTAGTAAAAAGTCATAGAGAACCCTTTTGGGCCTAGGGCTTTTGATCTATCCATTGAAAAGACCATTGCTTTGATTTCATCCTCACTAAATCTTTCCACGAGCATCTCATTTTGATCCCCGCTTATGCATGGCTATTCCAAACCTTCAATCAAAAGCCTTTTCTCCCTCTTGCCACTGGCCACTACATGAAAAAACTCACCATAATATATATTCTACACAAAACACCCTATCCCCTTTCTCCTTCCCTCATTCATACTTATATTCACAAATATATTGATATATTTAAAGAAAAAAACACCTACAAGTACAACACATCAGGATTGGATTGTTGGATCACCTAAGGCTTCATCCCAACCTCAATCTCGTTTCAACTCAGATTGGGATTTTCTAACCTGACCTCACCCATTCTTATTTCAAATTGGATTGCCATTTTCCAACAGAACATTAACCCAATTTTAAATGAAACCTTACCCTTTTCTTTGGTTTGTATTAGACTGGATTTGGGTCAGCCCAATCGAAATTGCATCCCTAGCTTTTACTTTTTAGAGAGAAATAGTTTACAACCTACTAGACTAGCTCCCATATAAGGCCACTAGGTCATTGTATACCCCTTTTACTTAATCTCAGCATTTATTTCCAGGCTTAATACTTGTAAAAGATGTATCTTCTTGAATATGAGGTTTTGTTTTCTTGTTTCTTTTGAAATATTAGATGAGTATTCAAACCTTCATTACAAAAGGTACATTTGTTTCTGTTCCAAGTCTATTACATCCCCAATGGAAATTCCCGCTATTACAAAGTGTTAACTACAAAAGAAACACTAAAAGGAGACCTTTCATCAATTCCTTAGTCTGCTGTGAGTTTAAAGCAATTCCTGTATTTTTTTTTATCAATAAGCATTTCCCTGTTGACAAGTGTACTGTTTATTGCTTTAAGAATGGGCCAACAATACCTACAATACCCTTTACAAAAGAAAAAGAACGACAAGCCCAACCTTGAAAGCTGTAATCAAGCTGTATCTCTGAAATCTTACGTTTGACCACTTACTCTCATCCATTCTTCATACATTTTGCAACCATCAATATCCAAAATTTTCAACAATTCTAAAACTGAATGGGAACCAGGTAAAACAGAGAGAAACATCCGTGAAAAGAGGATTTCTTTTACTATGTTTTACAACACAGAGGAAAAACAAACAAAAGGTTAGGCTGCCCATATGATCAGATCTTAGAATCCTCATCACCCTAAACTCCGAAGTCTAATCTCAGTTCAGCAACTAATTTCATCATCATCATCATCTAAGCCTTGTCCCAACTATATGGGATCAGGTAGTTCAGCAACTAATCTACCGATAATAATAATAATAATAAGCCCTACTTTTGTCTCCTGAAAATCTAATATGCAGCTGGAAGTGAAAAGTCAAAATATATACGAGGGAATAAAAGCAGAGAAAAGAAAACCTCCACTTACATTGCTGCCTTTCCAGGTTTGGTAAGTCCTCGGCGGCGGCGGCCCGCCGGCGCCTGCAGCGCCAATGCTCGCATCAGAGACCTGAGGAGGAGGCGGAACCACGTACATGCTTCTATCTCTCTATATCCCTTTCTCAGTATTTTCTGTTGAGATAGCAAGATAGAAAAAAGGAGGCCTCTTTAGGGTTCTGAGACTCGAACCATGGAAGTCAGTCAGCTATGATGCGTCAGATTCCGGTAACCGTAATTTCGGTGGTCGGAAAACGGTCACGAACAGGGCACGGAAGGAGCGCTTTAGGGTTTGACTCCGTACAGACGGAGATTCATTGACTCATGAAGGGAGAAAGAGGTTTCTGTCTTCCGATTGCAGAAGCAATCTCTCTCTCTCTCTCTCTCTCTCTCTCTCTCTCTCTCTCCCCTCTCTGGTATTCTGGTCTTGTGTGAAGCTCTTTACAGGAAATCAGAGTGACGTGGCATATTTCAATTGGAGGTCTGAGTCGCAAGCTACAGTTTTCGGTCTGCTTTTTCTTTGTGAGTTAAGTTTTTAACTAGTAAAGAGTTTAGATGACTTATGAGTCGATGACTTTAGGGGCGTGCGTGGTGGCGTGGTGCTTACTGAAAATTAAGGCGCGTCCCACTGGCACCCCACATGGAAATATCACCCGTACTTATGATTAGGAGATGTTATCAATACACGATTGTTGTTGCTCGATGTACCGTTAGAGACGAATCAAACAAAGTTGACAAGAGTTGGATCAACTTTTAGAATTATAGGAAAGCCCATATAGATTAGTTAAAAGAAGGAGATAGATAAACCCATTTCTTCCATATTGCTGCATCTAATAGACGCTACACAAATGTAGTGTCTTGGCTCATTGGACTTTGGATGAAACAGAAATCCCTACCATTATTCGGGATTTTTACATTGACCCGTTCACTTCAAGGCAATCTAATTTTGATAATTTCGATTGAAATCAGATAACAGATGAGATGAACCACATGCTTTTGCTTTATACCAATAATGGATGAAGTCAATCATGCTTTATTCTCTATTAGTCCTTTTAATGCACTTGGGTGAGATGGGCACACTCTTTAGGTTGGTTCTGATTTGGTAGGTTTCGTGCAACAGGTTTTCGTTTCTCCGGAAACTACTGCTAAGGTAAATAATCCTACTCTTGTCTTGATCCCAAAAAAGAAGACATTGAAATTGTGAATGATCTCTGACCTAGGCTTAACAAATGTTTCTTACAAGATAGTGGCCAAAATAATAGCATTTTAGCTAAAAAAGCATATTGGGTTCTCTCATTACACATTTTCTCCCATATGCTTCAAAGTAAATTAGAAGGTTGATATCTATGTGGTTTCAAGATCTCTAGAAACTGCCCAAAAGTAAATCACTTACTTTTTGCTATGACATTTTATTGTTTGGGAGAGCAACTAAAAATGAAGTGTTGTAGATGCGGACCATCCTGACCCACAATTTGGGGAGTTCTTAGGTCAAGAGATTAATTTATCTAAATTGTCCATGTATTTCAACCGCAACATGCTTCACATAACACGAACACACCTGTCTTATTTATTAGGGGTGTCACTTATGACAGATGAGGAGCTCTACCTTGGCCCTCTTCTATTATTACCGAGTAGCAGAACTACCATTTGGAATTTTGGAAGACTAATTTTCTCTCTCATCCTGGACGGGAAATATTAGTTAAAAGCACCCTTACCTCCATTCCCAATTATTTCATGCCCACCCAACATTTGCCAAAAACTATTTGTAACCAAACTAATTTGGTGGCAAGAGACTTTTGGTGGGAATATATATAAATCAGGAAAACCTCATATCCACCTTTGAAGTTGGAATAAATTCTTGGTGAGTAAGGAGTTTGGAGGCCTAGGAATTCATGATGTTTTCTTTAGAAATAGAGCTTTGATGATGAAACTTTCTTTGCGTTTCCTAGGATGGATTCAAGCCGAGCCAAATAGTATGAGGGTCGAACTCGGCTCACCAAAATAGTACAAGGCTTAAGCTCAAGCTCGGTTCGAGCTAGAATCTTGAGCTCGAGCTCGGATCGAGTCAAAAACTCGTAAGTTCGAGCTCAACTTGAAAAGAAAATATTTTATAAAAATAAAAAATTATATATAAAATATATTTTATTTGATATTTAAAAATAAAAAATTATAACAATTAGTTACTATTATATATAAAAATAAAATATAAAATAATAATATTATTATTATTATATATGTATCTATTCGAGCTCGGCTCGCGAGCCTCACAAGCCGAGCTATATTAGGTTCAAGCTCGACTCGAAGCTCGGTTGAAACCAAGCTGAGTTGAGCTTTTCATGAGCCGAACTCGAGTAGCTTGTAAAGAGCTCAGCTCATGGCCACCCCTAGCGCTTCCTAACTGAACTTGGTACACTATGGGTACAAATTTTATGAGCCAAGTATCTGAATTACTCACATAGATTTTGGAATTATTAGAAAAATAATTTTGACTCCCATATTTGGCAAAGTATGTTAAAGTCCATGCATGACATATCCAATGAAAGGTGCAAAAAAATTGATTGTGAATGGTTGGGAAACAAATATATATGGTGATCCTTGGCTCTTTATGCTACTACTGGGTTCTATATGCTAAATTATGGGTGGCCACAAGCCAAGCCTTTCATGAGCTATTCGAGTTTGGCTCGTGAAAATCTCAGTTCAACTCAGTATAAATCGAGCTTCAAGCCCAAAATATAGGCTCGTTTGCTAATCAAGCCAAGTTCGAGCCCAACGAAGCTCAACTCATGAGGCTCGCAAGCCTAGTAATAAATAAATCATATATATACACATATACATGCATGCATACATACATATATATAATAGTAAATATTTTTTATAATTCTTAAATTTTTATCTAAAAAATAAAAAAATAATTTTACATACAATTTTTATTTTTCAAAAAAAACTTGACTTATATCGAACTCGAGTCGAGCCGAGTTCGAACTTGCGAGCTATAAACCGAACTGAGCTCGAACTCAATCTCAAGCATAATACTATTCCTACGAGTCGAACTCAAATAACTAAATATTCAGGTCGGCTCATCTCAAATCCACCCCTATGCTAAATATGTTAATAGTGAAGTGGTTGTACTTATTGACTTTGATAATAAGACATGGAATAAAGATATCATCATTTCCAGTTGTTTTGATCCTCATCGGATACTTGCACTTGAACTGCGACAAAACATGTCCAATACAAATGACAAATTAGTTACTCGTCACATACTCTGCGATCAGCCGGTCAATGATCGATAATCATGTGGCATTGTTGGAAAGCTCGGTGTAGATTGGTTATGTAACAGGTTTCTTTTAATCCCCTTTCGGTACTAGCGGCTGCCCAAGCTCAAATTTCTAAATTGACACATTTTAAAAAAGAGCATAGCAAATTATCTCTCCAACCCATTGTTCAGCAACACTCCACTTCCTTTTATTGACATTAGACATGTTTACGGGCCGGGCTTTGAGCTCAACTTTATACTATTTTGGGTTCAGGCTTTAGGCCGAACCCATTAAAATTTTGATAAAAACTAAACTCTAACCTGACCTATGAACAAGTCTAATTAGCATGTACCTCCTCAACATATCATTAAAATTAATGTTGATGGAGCAGTTGGGAATCAAAATTCTGGTATTGGTATTATAATGCGAAACCACCATGTCTCTCTTATTTTTTGCATGCTCTATTTGTCTTACACTCGCTGACTCCGAGATTATACAGGTCAAAGCATTTAGAGTGGATTTACAGATGGCAAAAGACTTACACACAAGATTGTACTTTCCTTGTCGGACCCTCTCGTTGAGGCTCTTTGACAGTTGCATGTCATCCTCACAGTTTGCAAGGAACTTTTGTACTTTTTTACTTCGTCTCTTGTCTCCTTAATTTATCCCTCGTACAGGTAATTGTGTGACCCATATTTTAGCTAAAATGGGGTGTAGTAATATCTCTCCATCTTTGACTTGGTCTATACCTCCTGAATTTCTCAAGCCTGTACTTATGAGTGATTTGCTGCAATGAATTAGCATACGGGCTTTTCTTTCAAAAAAGAAAAAATCTATTTATTCACTCGTCTAATGACTTACGTGGTTGTTTCAATCTACGTCAATTAATTCTAGGATAAAATATAAAAACCTCCCCTAGGTTTTCCTACAATCATGAAAAACTTGCCTGTATTAAAACCAAAAAGCCTCTATAGTTTTAAATAGATAGATATTTACCTCCCTTCCATTATTTAGCCTGATGGAAAATGTTGACATCTTGCATTTGTTTTTTAAATGCCACTTTTACCCGTAAGGTGTGTAACTGAATAACTTTACCCTTTTATTGCTCCTCTCCATGTTTCACTTCCTATTCCTGAAACTTCTCCAACTCGAGAAATCAGGCAACGTTCGCCCTTAGCAGATTACAGACAGAGATTATTGGTCAACAAACAGTTCAAAACTTCAAAGAACATATGTAGTCAATAGGAAATGTGGAAATATCGTCCACTATAAAAGTCTAGCAATTCAACAGTGATTAAATCCACCCCTTAAGTTGCATTTGGAAACGATGCAAATGGAGTGGAAATCCTGGTTCAGGATAAATTTTCACTCTGGTTCACTTTTGCCTGTGTTTGACAATATTATATTTTTGCATTGACAAATGATAGATCAATGCATATTTACATTGATAATAAAATATAAAAGTACATCAATAAAAAAGAAGTAAATTTGCATTTAAATGGTCTTTTGATAAAAAAAAAACATATATTTTATTGGAATTCGTGTTTACATGCATTATAACTAAATGTCTATTTGGTAAAGAGTAAATTTATCAATACAAAACTAACACAATTTTGCAATTTATATGAATCGTTTTATACTTTACATATTTACATTGTTTCCAAAGGCAGTCTTAGAGCCAAACAATTCCAATTTAAAGCAAGAAACACCACATCAATGAGTGAACCCATTCTTGAAGTTGAACACCCCCTATTTTTGTGACTTGTTGGTTTTTTGTACGGTGCTGAAGCAAACTAGCAACCAACATAGTTGAAGGTGGCAACACGTGCATAAGCTTCCATTGCTATAGGATCATTTATTCATATGGCCTCTATGGTGGTTGATATCATTTTGTGGGATTCTTCCTGATGTAGAGTAGCTGTAATATATTGCAAGTGTGGTGAGATGGAAGTGGCCATGTGATGAATTGGGCTTCTAGATGGTGTATATGGAAATAAAGAAATTGCAGAAGGTCTATTAAATCTACAAACACTAGAACGTGGTTCGCAGAAAACACAGATCAAATGTGTTTGGGTCTCAGTATCGGTGGGAAGAACACAAAGAGCTGAATAGTTGATCGAACATGGTAGCCAATGAGAAATAGGAGAATTCAATTAATCAGGCTATCAATTCA